GCGTTGGCTGTCAAGGTCCACGAATTCGTCGAATTTCGATGCACTGGCGTGGCGGCTGCCTCGTGGCGTTTCGTTGGGACAGAGGCTTTGGCTTCGTGCGGTGGCATGGCCATGGGAGGTGTTGGAGCCGCACCTTTACCGACGTGTGCTTCAACGGTAGCGATACGTAGGCCATGTGCCTTGTTGATGGCATCTAGTTCGAGGAGCACAGCTGTTGCTGCGCAATGATGTCGATCGCACGTGTGCCTAGCCCTTGGTGCGGTGTTTCGACCACGGCTTCGTGTGGGCGACCAATGGATGCCGCCCACGCCAAGAGATTTCCAACGGTGAAACCAGCGGCGTTTGCCGCTTGCGCAAGCCTAGCCACAGCAGGGCCATGGGGACACGTCCACATCAAGAACGTTAAGTGCCACATCAACGTCGTCATCAATATGTCTAGCACCGCTTGATCCACAAGTTGGGGTTTGCCAGCCCAACACAGTTTTGGAAGGCCACGGCTTGGACACGAGCGACAGCAAAGCGGGATCCCGAATCGAGTGGTGAAAGGTCAGGTACGACAACATTGCCGGTGGGAGTCCAGCCGCTCAACATCTTTGCAATCTTCTGGTCTTCTGCTGATGTGTTGAAAATATACGCGAAAGCCTTGTTTGTCGATGATAGATTCCGCGCTCCACGATCAAATATGCATTGCGCACTCAAGCCGCTGTGGCCATTGGCATGCTGGGCACCTCCGCGTCGAAAGCTGTGTGACGTGAGTTCGTGCGTTAGCCCCGACGGTACGACAATCCTCTTTAACAGTCGATTCATGTAGGCATGAACACCCGGATCGGCCGCGACATTCGCCGCTTGTGGCGGGTCTTCAGTGCACGACGTCAACGCCACCAAAGGGTCAAGAAGGGAAAGCAGTGGCGTTCCAGGTCCGATGGTGATCGCTTCGGCTGTCACAACTTGAGGAACGTTCGACAACATGGCGACTGATGGGGTAGCTTGAGTAAGTAGAGCTAATGCGATGGATATCAGCGGCCTCGTGTACGGGTTTTGGTCAAGATAGAGCGCAAGCCGCTGCTCCTCGGACGTCTTCATGCACACGAAACCAATCGTGAGTACAGATCCCGAAGACACAGCGAGCTGTTGGCGTTGGACAAGGGAAAGGTCTGAAGCACGGCCAAAGCAATTCCACAGCAGGACGAGCATAGCAGCATCTTGATAATCCTTTGAACTCTGAACGTTGTGATGCAGCCACTGAGCAAGTCTTGCTTCATGCAAGCCTCGGCTTTCTTCACAACAACGCCACCATGTTCACGCTTCAAACAATGACGCTCAAGCATGCATGCCATCTTTTGCAGTCGTTCTTCGAGTGACACGCGTAGTGATGGATTTTTCTCCAGCAGCCAGTTCTTGGTCTGTCTGTAGTATTGCATTACAGTAGACTTTGCCAACTTACGGCCGCGTTAAAGGCAAGGTAAATACCATACTAGTCCATTGCTACCTCAAACACCGATGCCGTCGCATCCTGGGCAATGCAAGCCAACAGATGCTCGAACGGGACGTTTTCGGAGGCACCCACCGTTTAAACGCATTGAGTGCGTTGATGCGAGCCCTGGCAGTCTTCGCAGGCACAAGGTCGCGTAGGCTCATGATGCTGCAGGTAATCGGATGGTTGGGTACCAGTTACACTTACTGTTAAGATATACTTCGAAGTACTACGGATTGGTAATTTAGGTTGTGTGAAAACAGGACAAAGTCCTGAATGTCGGAATGTGAATCATTTCCAGTCAAATACTCGATCACAACTAGTTTGAATGCAAGGTGTGATATTTCAGATTCCATTCCGACAAAATTTGTCAGAATGTGTTGGAACCGACACAATAACAGTAGCCCTAACCCTAATTCGTGTTTATTGGTCAAAATTATATACTTCGAAGTACTAGTAGGATTGATTTTTAGTACCATATGATTGGTAGAAGGAGGAAACTGAGGTCATTAGTTGGCTAAAATTAGGCATACAAATACTAAGTGAGGTCGGAATATTGATCATATTCATCGGTAGAGACCGTTCGCCGAATCTGCCGAAAATTCCAAATCTAGCTTGAAAACACAATATTAGTGGTGACAAATCGACGAACTCGCTGTGTATGGGGTCGTCATGGTGCCAGCATGGTCAACCTTCGTCCCAATCATCATCGCTACTTCGAAGTACTACGTAGTATATCATATTGTGATTTGTTGTTGATGGTGGGTCGCTTAGAAACAGCGCAAGTTTTAATCCACCTGCATGTGTCGAGAGTACAACATTACAGCATACACGTAGCTCTATGAAGTGGCCCCGTCGAGTCTGGAGCACCATTAGCAGCGACACTTGGTGAACAGTCTTCAGTGACGACTCTTCACGAAGTGTTGCTACAAAGACGGACCCACCAGTCTTACAAATACGTCGACGATGCAAAGGACCCAGAGGAAGGTGGTCCGTCGTGCTTCGTGAGTTGGGCTCCCACTGGACCGAGTGCGAGAACGTGTACCACTTGTACCAGGCCTTCCTCACAGGCTCCATCAACGACGTTGCGACACTGAACGTTGGCGTCAGGACTATGCTACCAAGGGTAATTGTTGAATCTGTACTTTGCAGGCAGCGACCGCATGCTGTCCGAGTACCGCGCAATGGAGTCAGTACCAACCGAACACTGCCCTAGTGCTTGATTGACTTGGCCCGACGACGACGTGTGCCCATGTCAGTCGAAGATCTCGTCCTGTAACTTCACGCAACATTATTCATAATTCCTGCCAGCACGGTTCTAAACTTGTTCGTGGACCTCCTGGACATTGTTCTTGGCTGTTTCCTTGGCGCGGTACGCGTCAGCCTTGGCTTCGAGGAACGCATGCCACTTGGCGCGGCCGCCCTTCTTGAAGTACCACCAGTAAAAGCCCAGCACGGTGGCGACCACGCCCACGCAGATGATCACGCCGAACACCACGGCCACAGTCTCGCCCTGGAAGAGGTAGGTCAGACCTAGGAGCACCCCAGGCCCGACGATGAAGAGCAGCACCAGGAACAGCGCCGCCACGGCCGGCCACCGCGCGCTGTAGTAGGCCAATCGACGCGCCCACTGCAGGATGGGGTACCGGGTCATGGGGACGGGGTAGAAGAGGAGGATGCCCCACATGTTGAACCAAAAGTGCACGAGCGCGATGGCGACGGCGTCCGACTGCCCAGACACCCACGACGCCAGCATGGCCGTGACGGTCGTGCCCAAGTTGGCGCCGATGACGATGGGGTAGACCTGCTCGAGGGACACGAGCCCGAGCCCGGCCATGGGAGTGAGTGTGGACGTGACCACCGTGGACGAGTGCACGCAGAACGTGATGGCCGTGCCGATAATGATGTTGAGGTACCCGTTGAAGTTGAGCATCTTGCGGATGAGGTTCTGGGCAGATCCGCGGAACAGCTTGGTCAGCATGTGTACCAACGACACCAGTGAAAACACGAGCATGCAAAACCCGATGGTCACGCAGATTCCACCCGCGGTCGCGTTGGACATGCTATTGTCCTTGATGCTGTCGTAGAACATGCCCGCCTTCATGAAAACCGCCTGATCGCACGAGACTTTCCCAGTTGACACCTTCTCGATCATGGACCGGTCCGACTTTACGATCAGATCCGAGAGGGGATTGACCACGGCGTCGGTTGGGGACTTGAAATCAAAACTTGTCTTGCCGCCTGTCATGGCCAGCGACAGCAGCTCCAGGGGGTGGAAGAGCAGCTCGATGGGAAACAGCACGATCACCGACCAGATGTTGTACATGTCGTGGACGGTGGCAGCCGCCATGGCGCGCTCAAATTGATCACGCTTGCCCACCTGGGCGAACGCGACCATGATGCACGTGATGCACGTGCCGACGTTGGCCCCCATGATGATGGGCACCCCCTGGCGCACCGTCAGCCCCTTGGCCCCCACCAGTGCCACCGTGATGGACGTGACCGTTCCCGACGAGTGCAGCAACGCGGTGGCCACCACCCCCACCATGAGCCCCGCCACGGGGTTGTGGGCAAACTCAAATGCCGACTTGGCTTCGCACCCGAGAAGCAGCGAGAACGACTCGCCGATCACCTTGACCGACACCATGAAAAAGTACAGGGACGTCAGCGCCAAACAAAAGTAGAACACGCCCCAGAAGATCTTGAGCGGCAGCGGCATCGACGAGAACGTCGTGTCCACCTCCACACCGGCTTCTTCCAGCTGGTGGATGTACGCGACTTGGTCGTCCAAGGCAACAGTCGTGTCCATCTTGAGCTCGTTGTAGTCAGCGTGAGGCGTTGGTGTCGACATGGTTGATAGCTCGCAATTGGAAAATTGAAGTGGAACCAAATCTTTATTGCAGCTCATGGTTTTGGAATTGGACAAACTGTGGTAGTGTGGTAGATTCATAGATGTAGAAACTTGAATAGACACGAATGTTCAACTTTGAAATTTGATGCACGTGTCGAACGTTGGATTGCCTCCGACCACCTGAAAATACTCGAATGACAGGTCGTTGTTTGCTTCCAAATGATGCCATACCGGTGCAACCAAATAAGTGTGTAGTTTAACGGCGGGGACCATGCAATGGAAGTACATATGTATGTCCTATTTATTCATCGAGTTGTTGAAGTAATCCTTCGGTAGCATTGGCATTTCATGTCACAACAAGCGAAAGCCTGAACAGCACACTGCAAAGCACACCCAGAACTATCAACGGGCCTATCGCCGGACCGAACCGGCGTGTAGATTCCAAAGCTCTTGGACTTGCAAACTTCTCCGTGCGTGCGGTTGAGTTCGCACCCATTCAAGCATGAAAGATTCACCATAGTGGAATGCATATATTAAGTAAGGTATTCTGAATGTCAGAATCGAAGTTGGAATGTCACATTTCTCAGGTTGGCGAAAGTTTCAAGGATACAGTAGTACTTCAGTACCGTTTGGTTTAGGGTTAGGAACAGCGTCAACCGAAGTAAGTTTCCACAGGCAGACCATGCACACTTAATCGAGGGCCACCCCTAGAGTTAGTATACTGTATACTCGTGATTCCATGAATATGCTTTAACACCCTTGGTAACACGAGTTTTGTCTTCGTCCTTCTCGCCCCGACAATCTGCAAATTGCCCTCACGAGTACAGTACTACAAGTATTCCCATCTGAGCGGTTACAGTAACCCGCTAAGGATGGACCAGATTTCCGAAGTCGTACTGTACACTTACTAGTAATGTTTCTACATACTACGAACACTACGTAATACGTATTAGTTGAACTGTATTAAATACTACTATTCCGTCGTTATCTGACTTCGTAGTATACTGTATGCGTCAAACTTCGCGTGTCAAAATTCACTACTGTACAAAAACCAAGTTTACAATTTTCAACGACCATTTTTTGGCAATTGACATGGATATTTGCCGTGCAAAGGCAGCGTTGGCGGTGCGTTGCAGAGTAAACTGATCCAATGCGTGGCGTAGTTAGCGTTGTTGGCGTGACTACAGCGCTCATGCCGTTGTAATATGTTCCGCAGCGAAAGCAGACCAATTAGCAAGCTGGCATCACCGTTTGCAAAGTCAACGCTAGGAGTCGAAATTGCACGCCGGCCGGCGGCGGGCTATCATCCAGCGAGCTTGCTGTCCACCAGGTTCAGAACGATGGACATGAGGCTGCAATTGTTCTGAACCTGGTCCACAGCAGCCTCGATGGGCGATGGCTGGTCTACTATCAGCAATACCCACTGCTGTGTTTCTGTTGGCTTTGAAAGGGTGATGACACACACCGACCACGACCATGTTGAACGCGCATGTATTGCCGCTTAACGACTGACGACTTGAGGTGAACTTTGCAACCTCCTTGGGCGTGTGAAGAATGTAAAGTAATGAATGGCACGAGAGGAGATATCACGGATAACCTGCAAATATTCTTGCGTCATATCATATCCCTCGTCGTCGTGGGATGTCCCATCAACTTGTATCTTTATTGTATTTTCAGATTCAAAAATCTACATTAAATACTGAAAACAAGATAGATAGTGCTGCCGAATTTTCATTCCTTGAACAGAGGTAGTACTACTAGTTAGTACTGGTATATGAGAGGAGTGTGAACTACTTACTAGTACAGTACTGTAAGTAGTTGACTTCTGCCTTGGATTCATTCAGTTGATTACCCAAAGCAGAGTCTTCATTTCTGATTGCCAGTTGACGATTGTCAAGTCTATTGCACAGGCGCACTATATAGCGATTGTTTGGTGTTCAAAGTACTCGAGTCAGGTACCACTGTTCATGTAACACTTATTAGTAGTAGTATAGAGTAGTTCACGTTGGTTATTATGCCTATAAGGTTGAAGGAACATTTGCCAATTAGTAACATATAGCCCCTAGAAGGAACTCTATGCGTTCGTACCTCCGCGACGTGACGGGGCAGGCCAGCGGCAAGTCTCGTCGATGTGTGCTGTGCCACGCAAAGGAGAAATCCCCCGCCTGTGTATGCGACTCGTACTTGTGTCTTGCATGTATAGCGCTGTGGAAATCAGAAGCCAACGCCCTTGGCTGCAACTGCCACGCGAACAGGCGAAGGGAAATCGCAACTGAGCCCATCTCGCCAGTGCCAGTCGAGACGACGAACGATGCTCCCTCATACAAGCCCCAACCCATTGTCGTATGGAAGTCGATCCAGTTTGTTCCTCTGGAGCCGCCAAGAGCAGTGCACAACAAGGGACCACCTACGCTCTTGGGAAGGTTCGCCATCAAGGAAACGTCGACGTATTAGCTTCAACAGCGGATTGCGGAGCACTTCACCGCGAGGGACTGCTCTACATCCCCGTCGAGCTCCAAAGTGTACACCTTCCTATGATGTACCACATACGAGCTGTGGGCGACGCCAACCTCGTTCACCGGAAACCCAGCAATGTACTCCCATAGCAGTGGCTGTCGGGTAGCTGGAGTGCCGCCACAAGCATGTAAGCAAGTCGCCGAAAATCAATGTTGCGTGTGGAAGGGAGTCGATATTGACAATGAGAGGGTGGATATATGCTAACGTTAGTATTAATTAGCGTTGGACCATAACTAGTGTCCGACGGAAGCTAGCTTTCATGGTGACAGGTTGCTAGGAGGGTAACATACCGGTAGACTTCTTGACCCATGTAGATCTCGTTTAAAACTACCTTAAGTATTACTAGTACTTCGAAGTAGTAGGGAGGGTGCAGACAAGTTACAAAGCACCGAAGGACCAAGATCCAAGCGAGCGGCCAATGTGGATAAGAGTGTACAGTACATTCGACTATACTCGTGTTAAGTATACCGTTGAATCTCTAGACTTTTTGGCACGTGTACGACAGACAGTTCAATAAATATACCAATGAATCTCTGGATTTGTTTGGTACGTACGATGTCGTGACACTCGGTTTCATACACATGACGTATGCACACGATGGAGGATTGCTTGAACCTTGATTACAGTAATGTAATGAGAATACTGTAGTCGTTAGAAAGCAGCTCAGCATAAAGTGGAATATCAGTAGTCCTCTGAGCTCATACTCACCTGCACCAGTAGAACCTCCCGACGCTAGAAAAGCTTGCAGTTCTCGTATCGACTCCAATTACAATACCTTTAAGCTCAAGGAAAATCGAAACATTCCCGAGTCCGCTATACATGTCATTTGTATCTCGTCATGATCAACAAGCTCGAATGTGCCCTTGCGACATCTTCGACCACATTCCTCTTGCACTACGACATGTGTCTTGTAGATTCGTTCGAATCCTTGGCCATTAGATATCGACACCTTCCACTTCAGTTTTCCAATTGCGAGCTATCAACCATGTCGACACCAACGCCTCACGCTGACTACAACGAGCTCAAGAAGGACACGACTGTTGCCTTGGACGACCAAGTCGCGTACATCCACCAGCTGGAAGAAGCCGGTGTGGAGGTGGACACGACGTTCTCGTCGATGCCGCTGCCGCTCAAGATCTTCTGGGGCGTGTTCTACTTTTGTTTGGCGCTGACGTCCCTGTACTTTTTCATGGTGTCGGTCAAGGTGATCGGCGAGTCGTTCTCGCTGCTTCTCGGGTGCGAAGCCAAGTCGGCATTTGAGTTTGCCCACAACCCCGTGGCGGGGCTCATGGTGGGGGTGGTGGCCACCGCGTTGCTGCACTCGTCGGGGACGGTCACGTCCATCACGGTGGCACTGGTGGGGGCCAAGGGGCTGACGGTGCGCCAGGGGGTGCCCATCATCATGGGGGCCAACGTCGGCACGTGCATCACGTGCATCATGGTCGCGTTCGCCCAGGTGGGCAAGCGTGATCAATTTGAGCGCGCCATGGCGGCTGCCACCGTCCACGACATGTACAACATCTGGTCGGTGATCGTGTTGTTCCCTATCGAGCTGCTCTTCCACCCCCTGGAGCTGCTGTCGCTGGCCATGACAGGTGGCAAGACCAGCTTCCACTTCAAGTCCCCAACCGGCGCCGTGGTCAATCCCCTCTCAAACCTGATCGTAAAGTCGGACCGGTCCATGATTCAAAAGGTATCAACTGGGAAAGTCTCGTGCGATCAGGCGGTTTTCATGAAGGCGGGCATGTTCTACGACAGCGTCAAGGACAATAGCATGTCCAACGCGACCGCGGGTGGAATCTGCGTGACCATCGGGTTTTGCATGCTCGTGTTTTCACTGGTGTCGTTGGTACACATGCTGACCAAGCTGTTCCGCGGATCTGCCCAGAACCTCATCCGCAAGATGCTCAACTTCAACGGGTACCTCAACATCATTATCGGCACGGCCATCACGTTCTGCGTGCACTCGTCCACGGTGGTCACGTCCACACTCACTCCCATGGCCGGGCTCGGGCTCGTGTCCCTCGAGCAGGTCTACCCCATCGTCATCGGCGCCAACTTGGGCACGACCGTCACGGCCATGCTGGCGTCGTGGGTGTCTGGGCAGTCGGACGCCGTCGCCATCGCGCTCGTGCACTTTTGGTTCAACATGTGGGGCATCCTCCTCTTCTACCCCGTCCCCATGACCCGGTACCCCATCCTGCAGTGGGCGCGTCGATTGGCCTACTACAGCGCGCGGTGGCCGGCCGTGGCGGCGCTGTTCCTGGTGCTGCTCTTCATCGTCGGGCCTGGGGTGCTTCTAGGTCTGACCTACCTCTTCCAGGGCGAGACTGTGGCCGTGGTGTTCGGCGTGATCATCTGCGTGGGCGTGGTCGCCACCGTGCTGGGCTTTTACTGGTGGTACTTCAAGAAGGGCGGCCGCGCCAAGTGGCATGCGTTCCTCGAAGCCAAGGCTGACGCGTACCACGCCAAGGAAACAGCCAAGAACAATGTCCAGGAGGTCCACGAACAAGTTTAGAACCGTGCTGGCAGGAATTATGATTAATGTTGCTTCGCGCGTAATACATACCACATTGCAAGGAGTAATATTGTCCTTTTACCCAAAATTTGGACTTTTGTGCTGATTCGCGAAATCTATCGATCGATTCTTTGAATTGTGACTGTATAGTAAGTATGTAAAAATCGTGCAGTGGCACACTATTTCAATGTTTCATTGGCCGAGAAGTGGATTTGATTGGCTATTTGATTAGTGATCTGGGTTTTGATTGGTCGATCGATTGTCTGCCGATTTGGTGATTCTGCTCATTCGATGGAGCACCCCACTGCAATTTCGAATCGACTTGACCATATGTACACCAACAACACTCGGGTTCACATGCTACATACAAATAAATGGATGTACTATAGTTCAGTTACGCCGCCAATACCGCCCCGTGTCCATACCTCAACCGAGCCAAGAGTCGATTGCTACTACTACTAGTACTTTTCTGTCCCCCATCGGGGCGTTGGAACTGCAGCACCAGCGGCCTCCTGGCATCCTTGAGCTCCCATATAGTGTGCTGCAGACCGGCGTACTCGGCCGTGCTGCCATTCACGGCCACCAGTCGGTCCCCGGGCTTCACGTGCGGAAACAGCTGGCCAAATGCATCGGAGACGGCGACCACGACCAGCAGGACCTTGTGGCTCGTGGCGTCCATGGGCAGTCCTTCCAAGGTCAATCCAATGTGCCCAGTGTACGAAACGGTGAGGTCGTACAGAAAGTGGTGGCCATGGGGATGTGGTTTGGTCGGTTTTGTGGGAGGGACCAGTGACAGCGTTAGCATGGCCACACATCGATACGAACAGCCACCCCCCCACTCATTGTCCACTTGGGTACACTCGACGGACGATGACGTGGAGCTCTCTGCGTCGTCTGTGGGGATATCCACCCTACAGGAAGTATACAGTATATGTGACACCGTGAAACCACATCATGCCACACACGTTCGTCGCAACCTGTGTTTGGACTATATCATACAATATGTGACACCGTTGAACCACCTCATATGGTCCAGCCGATTCGAAAGTGCTCAATAACCAAATCGGCAGACAATCGATATTTTATTCGACCAATTCAAACCCAGATCAAGAATCAAGTAGCCAATCAAATCCACTCTTCGACACATTGAATTAGTGTACGAAGTTTACATAAGTCGATCGATCGATTTGATTTGGCGAATCAGCACAAAAACGTCCAAATTTTGGGTAAATGGACAATACACATACCCACTACTGAAACTAGAAAATACTTCGAATCAGTACATATTTGTACCTGTGGTGTGGCTCACAAGATGATCGCATCGACTCGAGCGCGGCGAGGACGGCGTCGTTGGCGGCCTGCGCGGACACCGTCCGCCCCGAGTCCAAGTCCTTGACGCCCAGAGACCGCTCCAGCGCATGCAGGGGCAGCGGCATGGGCATCGCTAGATGCTGTTCGTAGTATACATGGAACAAAGATGGCCGGTGAAGCACTTCAGCGTCGAGTGTGAACGACCCCACTGCACCTACATACACACACTTGTTCTTTAGCAACGCAAGATGAGCGAGGCACCTACCTGGAGGCACCAAGAACGTCTTGGACAGTTGCTGTGAGATGGGTTGAGGTGAATGGACGTCCACGATGCGGATGCGGTCGAGGGCGCTGTGGTCCATGGGCGCGTGAAATGAAAGCTTGAGCGGCGTCTGGAACGTGTGGACGTCGGTGTGGGTGTGGAGGAGGTACCCCGTCGATTGCATGTGTCGATGGAAGATGGACCAGCAGCGCTGTACTTGGTCGTTGTGGGTCAACTGTTCCGTGTGTTGAAGCAAACTCCGCGCATGCACAATGCGCGGGAAGAGAAGGTCCATGTCGCCGCAGTACCCAAAGCGGTTGAACGAGACATCGGCGCCGCGACGAAGCAGGTCATGAAGGACATCCTCGGCCCCCGTGGCGCTGTAGTAGGACATGATGATCACATTCCAAGCGAGGGGCGCGAGTGGTGAACGTACCACGCATAATGCACGCAACTCCAACCCCGCAGGTCTATGTGGTTGATATCGCAGCCGGCATCGGCCAAGATCACGTACATCTGCATGCGAGTTGCCGTATCTTGCTTGATGGCAAGCCTACAAGACATGGTGATGTCGAGAAGTGGAGGGAGATTGTGCATCGTTCGTTACTGCAGCAGGTTGCGACCCTTCTTGTCAATGTAGCGAACGTCCACGGACTTCTCGATGGTCAGACGGATCCCTTCTACATGGCCATGGCGGATGGAGTGCACCAGCATCTTTATGAGGGCCGCGTGAAGGAGCGACTGCATCCCCATGTTGTCCCAAAGCCGACCTGGTGTGGCTTCAACAAAAACCCAATTTCAAGCGTTGGTACAAAACAAATAAATACATGGGACATCCCATGTATTTTTATTCCCCTCGCTCCAACTCTGCCACTTGGATTCTGAAACGTACACTTGATGTTTGTATCCAGGATTTAAACTGACACGTTTTATACGTTATTTCCAAACGATGGTGTTATTTACATGTTTAACGTGTTTGGTTTTTCATATTGACGTCACATACGTACCACGGCCAAGCTTGCTTTTACAAATACCAAGATAAAACATGCATTCTATCATCGACCACTATTGAAGTCATGAACAGAGTCAATAAATAATACCGTGTAGCATCTATTTAATAGTCATATAGGTTTGGACTCCTCTGTAAAATTATATAATCCTCTGTAAAACTATATGGTTGGATTATTACACTTGATTATTGTATGCATGTGGTAATCGACACTATCCGGATACTTACCCGCCACTGTCCAAATCTAGATACAGTACTACACCATTTTGCGTTTATTTTCAGCTTTATTTCAAAATATTACCACCAACCTCCGATATACTTCACCGAATCGCCAATATAATTCACCCAACCTCCATTATATTTCACGCCGATGTATAATGTCGCCGTTATATTTCACCCAATCTGCGTTATAATTCACCCAACCACAGGATAATTTCACGTTTCCAAAATATAATTCACCTAACAATCGTTATAATTCGACTTGGGAATCTAGAAAGATCGAAGCATTCTTGAATCTGAGCTGGATGGAAGAGACCATCCCTGCACCACAAACTCCGGTACAGCTCTCTGTATAGAACGATCCACCGCTAACATGTCATAGTAGCCACCCCAACGTGATCCCTACAAGCGAGTTCTCCTCTCTTCCAAGAGACGTGTGGTTGCAGCACACGACGCCGGACAAGACTGGACGACCGTTGCTCGTGCATATGGAATCAACGAGTCCACTGCAAAAGGATTGATCATGTTAAAGTCGTTGACACCAATGCAACGCGGTAAGCTACATATAATACACAAAACGTTCGAATATGGGGCTGCCACCGATGGCCAAACTCGTAATGAGTTTCGCATGCAATACTTGGAACACACAGGGGACGAGGCAATTGAAGGTATTCAGTGCATTTGTATCGTATTTAACTCAACAATGGAATATGAATTGAGCCGAATCGCTTGCATGTGTACACTGCTCTCTTTAAGCCGTTTTATGTCCGTGCTACGAAGATGCAAGACTTGGACGTTGGTGCTTGAGCCGTAGATGTGTTGGTTTTCACTCTCTCGGGCGTAAAGGATTTACTTTTCATGAAACATATAGGTGGTCAGGTGAAATATATTTTCAAAAGGTGAAATTATGGTTGGGTGAATTATATCGGGGGTTGGGTGAAATATAATGGCCAAATTTCAATTTGGCGTGAAATATAATAGAGGGTGAATTATATTGGCGATTCGGTGAAATATATCGGAGGTTGGTGGAAATATATTGAAAAAAAGCTGAAATTAAACGCAAAATGGTGTAGTACGTTACTTCATAGTAATTGATGCATTACCTTCTACTGTACCAGCCCCACGCTACACGTACAGTAGTTGTCCCAAGGATTGATGTTAGCATTTATGTCGATCCCTCCCCACAGTGAACTGTGCACGGCTATTCAATTGTATTTGTGAATGTAATGGTGAGGCATTTGCATGTTGACTTGTTTGCGAGGCAAAAATTCCTCGAAAATCTTCTACAAATTCAAGGAATGCCAATTGCGGCGACAGGTTAGCCAAAAAAGAATGGGCTAACCCGTCGACGCCGCTGACTATAGGTCATCTACTACCACTTCAAGGTATGCCTCATCATCATAACGTTTGTCAGAACACCCTGTTCTGTTTGAGAACATCCCCACTGCCCACTGACTCCTACCCGGGGAAAAGCCTCTAAAAGGCACAAAAACCTCCTACACAGCTAGCAGATGCTGCTACCTGACTGACAGAACACCCAGTTCTGTTTGAGAACATCCCCACTGCCCTGTCATTCAGGTAGCAGCATCTGCTAGTTGTGTAGGTGGCTTTTGTGCCTCTTAGAGGCTTTTCCTCGGGTAGAAGTCAGCGCAAACATCAGGTCACGGTGAAGAGGGCAGTACGCAGGAACATACTAGTGCGCAGCAGAAGGAGATCTGGAAGCGAATTACTTCTGACTACAAAGAAACAGCCAATCAACTACTACTATTATGATTGTACCATTTCAAGGCTTGCCTCATCATCATGATTTGGCCACAGCAAAATTAACGAAGTACCTTCAGGTTTAGTTAGCTTCAGGTAGGGTGCCTACAGTACTGTAGTTCGTGCTTCCAATGAAAGTAAGGAGCGTCTATAGTACTTTACATAAAAATCAGATCGCATATCCACTCGCACAGAATGTGCTGGCCACGAATCAGATAGTACACGACGTGCTATGAACTGGCTCTATTTCGCCCACAAAGAGTCGCACAATAGAGCCAGTTCTGCCTCAAAGTAGATTATCTCGTTAACGTATACTTCGAAGTACTATGTAGTATTAATAATTCTTAATGCTATATTTCGATGTTCTCTTTTTAACCTGGACGTGTGGGGAGAGTCCAATACTTTAATCAAGTGTATTCTTAAGTATACTTGACTTTGCCAACCTGCTAATCGCAGGTTGGCAGATCAAATAATAAAATGAAAAAACCACAAGTCATCGTATTTGCTTCAACTAGTGAAGGATTCTGTGATTCGCACGGTGGCAGGAGCCAATCAGAAAAAGAGGAATATATCTTTTCCCGCAGAGAACTATAAAAATTTGTCAACGTCTGTAATGGAACAGACGGATGGTTCAGCCAATGAAAACAGTTATGTATTTCCTTAAGCAGTATGTAGAGTGCAACAGTCCCCCTTCTCGCTGATTGGCTCAAAGTTTGAATATTAAATTTTGTTCAAGGAAGGTTCACTCACTTTCGAATTTGCCACCAAGCGATCAAGTGCTTCCGATCTGCCGCTTTGCGCCGTTGACACCAACGTATGTGTTGTGTGCAGTGTGTGTGATGTCTTATATATTCTACAGGTGCTTGTGAGCAGCCGCCGTCCCGACTTCCTGCCGCCCGACTCCATGAGCCGCCATCCCGACTCCCACGCCACCACCGACTCCGTGTGCATTCGCGACCCATTGTTTCAAGTCTGCCGGAGGCTATGCCCAAATCTTTGGCGCGATCCCGTTACCGCCGGCGACGTCCCAACCTCTGCCATCGCCGACTCTGTGTGCATTCGCGACCCATTGTTTGAAGTCGGTCGGAGGCCGTGCCCAAATCTTTGACGTTGCAGCCGTATTGATCACGCAATCAAGTTGAAGAAGCGATGGGACAGCAAGTTCGTCGTCATTGGTGGGTTTTAACTTTTAATGGTGGCCATTTTGCAATTTGCGGTGTCATGGAAACGTGTTCAGTGTGCGGCGCCGACGACGGCCGAACCCTCCGACAGTGCAACATGTGTTCGTCCAAGTTCCATCATATGTGCATCGTGGAAGAAGCCGCGAGGAACGGGTGGCCCGAAGCGGAAGAAGGTCAAAAACTGTATGCTGTGCATGCGGTGCCATCAACAGCGCAAGACGTGCCGCCACCTGCGAGGAAGCGAGGGCGTCCGAAAGGAGCGAAGAACAAGGCAATGGTGCAAGATGTGGAAGGCGAGTCTACACGGAAGAAGCGTGTGCGGCCACCGAAGTCGTCGTCAAATGCCAACATGCCGCCAACGCCGTCAGAGGTGGACGTCACGCCGATCTCAGTCGGGGTATCCGAGTTTACACCCGACCACAAGTCCATTCGATCCCAGACAATGTTTCGGAACGTGTCGTTCAGGCCGCTACAAGAGATGCAAATCCACAAGAACGACAAGAATCTGCTTGCCTTCTACGCGGATTGCCAAGACTTCATGCTAAGTGGTGTGGTCACCGAAGTGCGCTACGTTGTTGGCAGCGAGAACGATCCCGACATCGACACGCCGGGCAAGAACACGAAAGCCGAGGCCAAGGCGATGGTGGCATTGTACAAGATCACTTGGAATCACACACGGTTTCAGCGCGACGAGCCGTGGATTACTGCGCGCCTGTTTTACAAAGGTGTGTTGCGTGTACATGTATCTTTCTTATGCATTCTAGGTGTGGAACAGTTTGTGACTTTGAAGGCAAACCAACGTATGAACGCGGGACGAAGTTACCTGCAAATCTTTCTTGTTCAAGCCCGAGGACGAGTCGCACGATCTGACAGAGTGGGACAAGAAGTTCCTTGCGAACAGTTCATTCGACGAAGAGACCAAGAGCGACGAAGAAACCAACGACGGCAGCTTGGCGCCGCAAGACGACGACAGCAGCGGGGACGAGTGGTCCGAGTACGTGGACCGTGGTTGGAAGAAGCACGGGTACTACGACGCGACAGAAGACATTGAAGGACTCGAAGACGTGGAATGGACGTGCAGAGGACATTACGCCGGGCCCACAGACCTCTACGAACACGAAGACAACAAGGACGACACGCCCGTGGACGAGTTGCGCATTTCGGAAGAGTTCAAGCATCTATTCAAGGACCCCGTCAAAGGTTTCCTGGCGTTCATGCCGCTGGAATTTTGGAAGACCGTGACGTTGCGAACGAACGCCAAGGCTGTGGCGCTGCAAGCAGCGCATCCGA